TTTATGCGATGCAACATCGTAAATTTCTATCACTCAAATTAATAAGAAGTTTAGGTCACCGAAAAAAATAATTCTGTATCGCCGAGGAATCGAACCCGGTGTCATCTCCACTAGAAGCCCAAGGTTTATCCCCTTACGCCATCAGAGGGAATATGTAAAAAATGTTTTTATTTCAATTAAATGAAGATTCTGGTTTTTTTAATTCAAAAAATTTTAAAAATTATCTTGATCCAAAAAAATTATTTTAAAAATAACCATTATTAAAATTTCAATAATTTTTTATGTAAAACTGTTACTTAATTCAAAAGTTTATAACCTTTCTTCAATAAAATTAATTATTTTCAAAAAAACATTTTTGAAAAGTAAAAATAATTTTGTTCTCTTCTAACAATTTAAAATTCTTCGTTTGAAGACAAAAAATACTTTCCTCAGACCACAGATTTCATTTAAATAATACTTAAAACGAGATTTGAATAATTTTGTAAATAAAGTTGTCTCTGTGCTTTAGTACACGTTAAAAGTTTTACGCTTGAGGTGTGCAATATAGATGACAGTGAATAAGATAAAATATAATGATTTTCACAAGTTTCAAGAAGATACTCGTGTTAGCATTCTTGCGTAATACAGTGAACTTTTTATATGTTTACATGGTTGCCTTAAAGGGAGTAAGTTTCGAAATTAATTTTAAAGTCAGCAACAGTCTTTGAGTATGAATGGTTCTCATGTTAAAACACTTTATATGTACGATTAAAGTAAATGAAAAAATTTATCATTGCAATAGTTGAAAACTTTTATCTGCTTATAATGCACTTTTCAGTTCTCTAACTTATAATTGATTTAGTAGTTACAAAATTTATATTGTTTTCATATCTTTTGCATTGAAACTTTGAAGTTCGAGCCTGGTTAGTCAGTTGAAACAGAACTATTTCAGACAAATTAAACTATAAACTATAGTAATGTCTTTAATCAGAATTTGTTTCATATCTGCACTGAGAGAAAAGTGCATAGTTAGCTGAATTATAACGTCACAAGTATAAAAATGTAGTTTTCTGAACTTTTTTTATAGTTACTCGAACTATACATTAGTTTAAGTAACTATGGATAAATAGTTATACCGACTATATTTTAAGAAATATTTTTCTGTTATCGTGTTAAACAAAAAATTATTACGTAACTGAACGGTTTTTACGGACGATGTCTTAGATACACGGAAAGAAAATTGTACGAAAAATTACGATGGAAACATCGTAATTTTTAGTATAGAACATTGTAGTGCCGGACCAGAACTCAAACATTTTAATTTATACGATGTAACATCGTAAATTTCTATCACTCAAATTAATAAGAAGTTTAGGTCACCGAAAAAAATAATTCTGTATCGCCGAGGAATCGAACCCGGTGTCATCTCCACTAGAAGCCCAAGGTTTATCCCCTTACGCCATCAGAGGGAATATGTATTCTTTCTGTTTAGTCACATAATAAGACCCTCCATACAGAAGTTGGTCATCTTTCGGTGGTGGCGTCGCAAACTATTGGCTTCTGTCTCTCTTTTATAAAACATATAGTATGCGTCCTTATTCACTTGCTCTTACGGAAAAAAAATTTACTATATAACATCGTAATTTTCAATAATTCAAATTGTATTCTGTAGACGGCAGCATCGTAAAAATCAACATGCTAAAAGTCTAGTCCTGGATTACGATGTTACCATTGTAATTTTTCATAGGATTTTCTTTCCGTGTAGCTTAACTGGAAGAGCCCTTGATGCGTAACCAACAGATCCGGGTTCATGTCGTTTGGTTGAAAACCATTTGTATTTTCATTTTTGTACCTTCACAAATTCACAATCTCTCCCGAGGATTTTATTATTAAAGTACTACAAAGTGTTGCATTAATACAACTACAGGTCACTGGTTGTGACAACCCCTTTCCACCTTGGTAAAGTAAAGTTAAAAAATCGTAAATGTAGCAATTATCGAACATGTCTGATGAATTAAAGTATATATTCCGAGCTAAAAAAATTGCGCTTTCAGCACTATCGGTGCTTGAAAATTAAAGTTTATAGATTAAGGTTAAAAAAAAAAAATTTCAATTTTTTACTAAAACGTTATCCAATTGAAGTTGACGTATATTAAGTTCAATAAAACACAATTTTTTTTCAATTAAAAAATATTTAATTACTCATATTGTTCTAAACAATACATTTTAGCAACATGAACATGAAGAAAAATTTTATAGGAAATTAAATTTTCTATAACTTTTTCCTGGGAATATTTTTGAAAAAGTCTAAAGTTTAGGTAGGTCATAAAAAATCCTTGTTATTTTAATGAGAAAAATTCAAAATAAAAAAAAAAACGTACACGGAAAAAAGCAAAAGGGAAAAATCACATTATTAATAGTAATCACTACCGCTTCAAATTTAAAACTATAATAATTGAATTTCGAAATAATACTTTTAAAATTCAAACTTTGATTATTCATTTTCACTTATTTAAATATAATGTTTACATTTTACATTGTAAAAATTACAAAATCTGTATGAATTACAATCTGAAACTGTAATTTTTACAGTTTTTTATATATAGCGTCACGTTTCATCATATAATGTAATTTTTCCCTTTTTTTAGGAGATTTTATAGAAATCTAACTACACGGAAAGAAAATTGTACGAAAAATTACGATGAAAACATCGTAATTTTTAGTATAGGACATTGTAGTGTCGGACCAGAACTCAAACATCGTAATTTATACGATGCAACATCTTAAATTTCTATCACTCAAATTAAAAAGAAGTTAAGGTCACCGAAAAAATAATTCTGTATCACCGAAGAATCGAACCCGGTGCCCTGGTGCCCTCTCCGACACAAGTCCAAGGTTTATCCCCTTACGCTATCGTAAGGATTATCTGAATTTTCTGTTCAGTCACATAATAAGACTCTCCATACAGTAGTTGGTCATCTTTCGGTGGTGGCGTCGCAAACTACTAGACTCTGTATCTCTTTTATTAAAACATACTAGAAATTCAAATTGCGCGCATACGCGCGCGCTCTAATCTTGAACCAATAAGGAATCAGGTTCCATGTTTTCGATACTAAGCTAACTTCATTCTACCATCAATTTTAGTATATAGGATAGTATGCGTATAGGATAGAAACATCGTAATTTTCAATAATTCAAATTGTATTCTGTAGACGGCAGCATTGTAAAAATCAACATACTGTAAGTCTAGTCCTGGATTACGATGTTACTATAGTAATTTTTCATAGGATTTTTTTTCCGTGTATTGAATTTGTCCTCATGACAGAACTTTCGAAAAATTTTGCTATATATCGACTCAGCTCGTCAAGCGGATTCAGAAAATACATATGGTTCAAAAGTTTATGTATGTATGTATTTATACGATATAACGCCGCTTGTCTGGATCATATCATCTACAATTCTGAGCTGATCGTCACCAAACTCTTCATACTTCTTATTTGGTTAAATACGACGTTCAAGTTCAAATTTGAGCGTAATCGACTGGGTAGTTTATGAATTATAGGATTTTATAGTGTCAAAAATTCAGATTTTTATTTATTATTTTTTAAATAACTTTTAATTGCAAAAATTTACGGAAATTCTATCTAGTGCATCTTAAAGTTCTTTTAATAAGCTTCAATTTGCATTTATCACTTTTATGATTCAGCCAGAAATCATATGTCTTACGTACGTTAATTGATTATTAGAATTTTCATTACTGTTTTGTATACTAGGAAGAAATCTACTTCCATTTCGGCTGCTGAATGGCCTTTTTTTCATGTATTTAGAATTGAGGGCTAAAATTTGAACCGGTATTTAGAAAAATATCTGTGGGTGCTAGTAAAAAAAAGTTTAGTTTTTTCTACACATTAATTACATCCCATAAGCTTTTTGAATTCACGTACTACTCAAGTTCATTTCAGAATCACAAACTATTTAATCAAAAGATAGCTTCAAAATGTTTGTATGTAACGATTGAACAATGTTTTTTTTTTTTTTTGATTTGTTTAAAGTCGCATAAACTACTAAGGTCATGAGCGACTACGGTAGGGGGTAAACTTTTGAGATTGGAGCTCGTTTGTATTTCTTGGGCTGAGCAGAATAATACACTTAAATATTGAAAATATTCATTGGTGTACGCCGGATTCGAACCCGGTCCAATGCTTTGATAGCAAGGGCCGGATCCGATAGGCTACTGCGCGCCTGATTGAACAAATTATTTAGCTATATTGTTACATAAAGTACATGTAAATCGATTTGGTGTGCTCAAATCATAAAAGTGTATGGCAACCAGCATGAATTCCTTTTACGATCGATTATTCAGATAGGATAACCGTTCACGTTAGGATTGCTCGGATTCTCTTGCTGGATTGTCTGGATTGTTATTTTAAGTAAATTCTTGTAATAATTTACATTTTTCCTTGCTCTAACTCTTAATCGTTCATTATAATTATTCACCTCAGTAGAATTTAAAAACTCTATTATATTGTTAAGCTAATGATTTTCCCAATTAAAATACATAAAAAGAAGAATTGTACAAATTAGTGTAAAATTTTTCCAATAATATAAAAGTATGAAACTTTCAGTACTCACAACATTTTTTACACGTTTTTTACACCATCGATTGCATATCATATCTATCTTCATCAATCATGCTGAAGAAATGGAATGTTTTTTCAGGACAATATTATTTTATAATATCTGAAATTTATACAGAAATCTAGTGAATAAAATGAATAAACATTTAGATGTAAGTAATATATAAAACATCATACACTACAGAGAAAACTGAGATTTTATTATAACTTTTTTTTTATGAAGGATGATATTGTTTCAATTAATTAAAAATAGTTTGAAGGTATTGTTATATTCAAAAACTGTTGAATTTATTTTATTTGGTTTTTTGTAGATACTATGAAGCAAGATATTCATTAAAAATAGATTGAAATATAAATTTTTATCCTCAATTAGTAACTTTTTTACTATAACGAGCATATCAGCTTATCAATAAAAAAAAAAATAAAAACCAGAAATTGAATTCTCGATTCCAGAGCTTTTATAGTACGAGAAAGCGCAAGATAGGTTAAAACCATTAGAAGAAGTAATGACTTTATAAAATGGCCGCGAATATATTCATGTATTCTGATTTATTCATAAGTAAAGTGACAAATATAGATATCAAATTATGTTATTAGGTTAGAGAAGTGGCAAGTGGATCAAGCAAGATTCCATTTTTTCTTGAAGTAATTATGGAAATTTTTACCTGGATCTTCTTCCATCGATTGAAACTAATTTTCTGTCTTTTTTTAATCACTTAATAAGCTTAGTGGATTAAGTACAAAAAACGAGCGAATCTTAATTCATAACTTAAATCTTAAAATTTCTGAACTGTTACATTTGAAAAATCATTTTTAATAACAGCTATTAAAATATGGAACAATCTATCATGGGTAGTTTTTGCATTAGAAACATTTAACGAGTTTTATAAATTTGGGGAAGAATAATTTTGAATAAAAATTCTCAAGTTTTATATCAAAAAAATTTTTTTACTGTAAGAATTACTGTGAAAAAAATTTTCATTTTTATCAGCTAAATAAAATTGTTTAAAATTTTAAACAAATTAATTTTTTACTAGCAATCTTGCAGTTACTATGTGACTGCTGTGACTTGTGAACCGTAAATAAATAAAATTTTGCTTTATTAAATAATGACTTTTGTTAAATTGCACTGTACTTTTTTAACTATTGATGTTTTTAAAGATATAAGCTCATCCCGAAGTTACACTCATCAATAGCTTTCATTTGAGTACCCACATGCATTTTAATATATTTTTCATATATACATATATATGTCGCATTCCGCAGTCAAATTAATAGATATTTTTTTTTCTTTTTTGCAAAGCCAAAAGAGTGTATAAATTAATATGCGCCCTTTTGGCATTTGGGTCGCGATTTGTTATATTTAAATAGCTATTGGCTACTGGACGAAATAAAGCAATTATACATAAAAATACCTCTTGAATAATCCCGCAAAAATATAAAAATTTTTAATTATTACCAAGCAAAAATTTATTTTTTTTTAAATATATTTTTCACCATTTTTTTATTTTCATCAACAAATAAATTATTTGAAAAAAATTTTTAATTGTTTTTAAAGATTTTTTCAAGTGAATGTTTTCATTGACATTTTTTTTACAATAATTTGTTAAGAAAAAAATATAAAAATGATTTAAGTCTGTTAATTTCAAACTAATTTTGTCGAAATTAAATATTTATAGTATTATTTTTAGTATTATTCAATAATATGTTATAAATCTTTGAATATTTCAATAAAACGTTAAAAATTTTTGGTTTGCCTATTGCCATATATTTTATTAGTTCAACTACTGCTCCCGGAGTGTTCAACTACTAAGGCTTGTCACAATTGATTGTTCAACTACTACCCCTTTCATAGTCTATCTTAAAAACGTTGTCAAATTATCAATATTCAATTATTTGTGTTATTTTGCACTTCAATCAATTCAAAATTGTTTATATTTTCATGAAAATCACTAATTTGAACCAATAATTACATCTTTATATATTAAAAGTAGGGTCAAATACGTTTTACTTTGAAATAACCTGTTCAACTACTGGGTACTTTATCTTATAAATAAAAAAATTTGTTCTTGAATCAACAATCAATAATTCTTGAAATGAAATAAAATTATTCTTTATTGAAGAGAATCATTGGAAGTTAAGCGTAGGGATTTGTAGCAATTTCCAAGTTCGGTGATGAGTACATAAGTATACAGTAAATATACGGTAGATTTACGGTTTATATTCTGTTATTATACCATTATTTTCCTATTGTATTGCCGTAAATATTCTGAATTTATTTCGTAATTTTTTGTAATAATTTGGCAAAAAACTGGCTAAAATAACTGAAGTATTACGGCGGTAAACATACAACATTTATATCGTATAAATATCAAATCTTTGCGGCATTTCCAAAACTACGAAGGTATATATATTAAATGATAAATTTGTAATTATTGATAAAGCTTACAAAGATGTGGTCTACAGCATCACCCTTGTCATTGTACTTGAACATCATGTTATTAACCCAAAAATCCCCATGGTTTATAACATTGAACTCCTTTTCATCCAACTTCCTAGCATTGGCGGCTTTATCATAAGCGACGTCAACTATTTTTTCTATTTTTTTCCTGCAGTCTTTTCTCAATTCCGGCCATGATGCGGCTGCTTTTACCAAATATTTCATCCCACTGACGAAGAAGTTTGACATGTCTTCCGGGAATTCCATTTCAAACATACCCTTGCTGTAAATTTCCTTGAGTTCGGGATTCTAGAACAGATTTCATCAATAATCGGGTTTCTAAAAGGAATCTTCATTTTCTCTTTCCTGATAAGCTAACCTTTTCAATAATTAATACAGAACTGGCGTGGAATTTGGCCAAACCCTGCAATGCGAGGGTGCAATGATTGAAATCGAGTCCGGTATGTCGATTAGCCATTTTGAATCCCAAAGGAGCCAAATCTTCAATCATAAGCACCTTAGGATCCTTGGATCGGGTAAAATAACACAATCCACCGAGTTTAGTATCTTTTAGCACAGATTCCATCTCTCTGAGTGTTGATGTCATCATCGTCATTTCGATTCCGAACAAATCTGCACTTTCGATCTGAAAACAATCATTTTTATTACCATTTAGTAATTAATCATTGTAATTGCCATAATTACACTCGTAGAAAAACTATAATGGTTTGAAGGACATAATTAAAAGAAAAAGAACTTATGCAATCACTGTGAAAAAAAAAGATTTAATATAGAAGCGAAAATTAAAAAACATGATTTTCATTAAACTATTATTAGAGAAGTATTAAAATTAATTTAGCAGATTTTTGATAATATTTTTGACAAATAAATTATGACAAAAAAAAAAAAATGAGATAGAAATTTAAAAAAATAAAAAATGCAATTTTTCAAAAGCAAACATGGGAATAATAAATTTTTTAGATTAATTTTTTTTTTCATTGATAAATAAGTTTATATAATAAATAAATAATTTTATCTAATATTAAAAAAAAAAAATTTTTTTTAAATCTATCTTATTTGACAATATCAATATTTGACAATTTTGATAATGTTTTTGACAAATAAATTATGACAAAAAAAAATTTACAGAAATTTTAAAAAATAAAAAATGCCAATAATTTTTCGGGACAAATTTGTTTGTTAAATAAAATTAAAAAATTGTCAAGTGACTGCTAACTTTAGTGTCATTAGAAAAGTTATAAGCGAATATCCAAAAAAGTGACTTTTTTTGAAAATACACTGTGAAAAAAAATTTCTTTTGCAAAATATTGACATTTTTGTGACAAGAAATTAATTTATGGGAAAATTTCTTTAAAAAAAAAAAATTTTTTTTCTAGATTCAGGAAAAAACAATTTTGGATAAAAAATCTCAAGTTGTCTATCTAAAATTTATTTTTTCCAAATCAAAAAAAAATTTTTTCAACAAAAAAGTTACTGTAAAAAAAATTTTTATTTCTTCAGCTAAGAAATAAAGTTGTTTAAAATGAATTTTTTTATCACAAAAATGCCGACATTTTTCAAAATAAGTTTTTCTTCTCGTAGCTTTTTTTAATGTATCAAACAAGCTTTTAGAACTCACTAACTCAGTGTGCTTTCCTTGATTTCTGTGAGTGGTTTTAACAATAACCGAACATTTCTTCTTTCCATCTTTGCACGTGAGATCAAAATAAACCCGATACATTTCACTGGTGTAGTTATCACCCTTGTCAGTCGCATTTTTAACCACCATATTAGTTACCAAAATCGAATTATCCTTTTTCGCATTTCGAAGGGCATTTTGTATAAACTCCTCCGTCAACCACTCGAGTTCGCTCATGTTTCAACTAAATCGCAAGGACTTATGAATTACACTAAGTATCAATTCAATGACAATTAAGTAGCGACTGCATACCATTCAGGTTTGTTTGAACTTTTATACTTCCGCATATGAGACTGTTAGATTAAATACATCTACAAAGTTAATTTTTATTTCATAACTATGCAAACACGCCAGTGAATTGCAGTTGCTATTATTATTATCTTGAAACAACTCATTAGATGTAAATTTTTATTTTCCGTCTCTCAATGCCAAATTGATAGCAAACGATTCTATAGATTACTGACATTTTATGAACAAACTAGTTGATAATGATTGACGCGCAGTATATTATGATAATACTAATTAACTCTCGATGCATTATTTGTCATCAATCATCAATCGTTGAGATTAAAAGGTCTTACGTAACTATGCAAAATTATTTCAGTTCATTTATTAATTAATGACTTCATTTCTGTATTACTAATAAAATAATAAATAACCGAAAAAATTAATTTGTATAATAAGTTTTGGAAGTAAAAATTTTTTTTTTTAATCAGTTGCTACATATACATAATTTATTGAGGTAATTAAAAATTTTTAACACAAATTCCAATTTCAAATTTACTTTGTAAAAATTAAGTTAATAATTAATTAACTAATTATGAAATTTATTGGGGTCTTTAGAAAAATTTTCAAGTATATCACTAATCTTATAATGATTTATTAGCAACCTTGCAGTCACTATGTGACTGCCGTGACTTTTGAACTATAAATAAATAAAATTTTGCTTTATTAAATAATGACTTTTGTTAAATTGCACTGTACTTTCTTAAATATTGACGTTTTCGAAGATTTAAGCTCATCCCGATGTTACACTCATCAAGAGCTTTCATTTGAATACCCACATGGATTTTTGATATATTTTTCATATATTCATAAATATAAATATATAAAATATATGTAAAATTGATGTGGGTATTCAAATGAAAGGTCTCGATGAGTATAATGTCAGGGTGAGCTTGTATCTTTAAAAATGTCAATTGTTCACAAGATACAAGGTCATTTCTTAATTTTGTATCTAGAGATAGAGCATTTTCGAATGCAGCCTAAAAACTTATCATAATAAATTGACTATCGGTAAGAATGATATAAAATCTTAAAAAGGCACAAATTCGAATCAAGACCTTCGCAATGACCCTAAATTTCTCTAAAAAACCCATTTTATCGTATGATTTGACTATGAAAATTTTTCTTATTCTCTTAATAATATAGATAATTTGTAACTTCTCTTTAAGAAAATTTAAAATTTTCAAAAGTTGGGAAATGTTGGTTTTACCCCGTTTTTCGAAAATCGAGTTTGCAACAGATGTTGACGTTTTGAGATCCTAGGAAGCTTCCCCGAATGTTTCCGCGATGATGTCCGTATGTCTGTATGTATGTCTGCGTGTGTGTGTGTGTGTGTGTGTGTGTGTGTGTGTGTGTGTGTGTGTGTGTGTGTATGTATAGATATATGTGACCCGCTGGTAACTTTTGAACGGCTTGACCGATTTCATCGCGGTTGGCGCCATTCAAAAGGGCTTGTTCAATCTTAGATTTTGAATATACTATGGACCGATTCGAACCGGTAGATTTTGCGAAATCTCAAAAAAACTGCAAAATAAATTTTTTGAAATGTGGTTTTTTTGGAATAACTTTTAAACGGTTTTACTGATCGATTCCAAAAACTAATCAAAATTTAACATCAGAAAACCACGTCGATCGCCGCCAAGCTGGTCAAAATCGGTTGATTCGTTTGTGAATTATCGTTGACGAAAAAAAGTGATTTTTTCGAATTACACCGGTCTGATCAATTCGTGCTGATAAGTATATATTGTAGAATTAGCAAAATTGCGTCGAATGCTGTTAACCACATGAAAATCGATTAATTCATTCAGAAGTTATTGCGGTTTGAAAATTCAAAAAATAGTGTTTTATTAATTTTCTATCAGACTTTTGAGCTTGAAGTACTTAAAAGCATTTAATATCTTACTCTTTGAGCTCGGAGAGCTAAAATAACACATAAATTATATTTTTGAGGTCGAAGAGCTCAAAAACGTCATAAATGCAATTTTTAGTGCTTAGGTATAGATTTAGCGGGAAATTGCAGATGGCCTTCAGAATCAACCGTTTTCCTAATTTTTTCACTACAGATGTCACTGGGTATAATCTGGAATGTTATCCAGTGTAATCTTGTTCTTTCCGTGTACTAACTTAGACCTAAGAAAATTTTATTAATCTAAGAACTTTTCTACTCAAATTAAGATGTTCTCCAAAATTATTTACTTGATTCAAGTAATTTTTTTTTTCTGTGTAATAAGAAAATTAATAATAAAAATAATAAATTTTTATAACACTATAAAAGTCAAAATTTTTATTTTAAATCAGTTGCAAAACGTACAGAATTTATTGAGGTGATTAAAAATTTTCAACACAATTGCAATTTCAAAATTTACTTTGTTAGAATTAATCCAATACTCCCCGAGAATACCAATCTTGAAGCCGAGGCACCATTATCTTCCTAAAAGCTTCGTTTTGATACGCCTTGGCATTGAAATCAGCTTGATCGCTTTCCAACATTTCTTCTAGATCTTGAGCATTACTTTTATCAATAATCATGGTCGGTAAAGATGTGCAGGTGAACAAAAACCCAACGAACTCTTTTTCTGCCAAGATTTTCGTGATGTATTCCAAAGTAGGGGCGCTAGTTTTGCATTCAATTTTTCTCATCGTTTCAAAAAGTGTTTTGTGATATTCTCCAATCAAATAATCTTTGTGATGCATCAGCAGTTCCTCGGGAATGCTTGAGTTAAGGAAATACAAGAGATCGAAAGCCGGAGTTCCATAATGACACATTTGAAAATCAACCTTTAAATAGAAATTCAATAATTAATTTTACTTCTCAGAATGATTTACTGAAATTACTTACAAAAATATGATCTGTAATATTTCCTTTGTCATATTTGAACATCATATTGTTCACCCAAAAGTCTCCGTGGTTGATTACGTTGAATTCATCTTCTCTAAGCTTCCCTATTTCGCACGCTTTGGAATAAGTAGAATCCGCGATTTTTTTCAGCTTCTTTCTGCAATCTTCGCTCAATTCCGACCACGAATCGGCAGTTTTCGCCTGGGATCTCATACCACTTATGTAAAATGTCTCAACTGCTGGACGATATTCTGCAGAAAACATTCCTCTGCGATGATCTTTTCTGACTTGCGGATCCTAAATCGCCAGAGGATCATTAATAAGAAGTCTTTTAACAATTAACCAATTTGAAAATTACCTTTTCGCAAACTAGAACAGAACTAGCGTGAAATTTGGCCAATCTCTGCAACGCTAATTTGCAATGTGGAAGATCAAGACCTGCTTGTCGGTCAGCTAATTTAAATCCCAGAGGAGTCAAATCTTCAATGATAAGCATTGCAGGATTCTTCACCTGCGAATAGTAACATCGGCCACCGAATTTTGTACCGTCTTGAAGTACTGATTCCATTTCTCTGAGAGTCTTGGTCATCATTTGGATTTCATTGTCAAATATTTTGGTCTCCTCGATCTTGGAAAATAATTATAACAATTATTTTTCATACATTAACAATTTGCTAATCACTTACCAAATCTTTGTGCACTCCCTCAGTGCTGTAACTCGCCTTGACAATTACCGAACCTTTTCCAGCAATTCCATCTTGCGTTACATCATAATTAACTCGGTACAACTCACTGGAGTAATTGTCGCCTTTGTTAATCGCATTTGTCACCGAAATTTGTGTCACTGAAATCGAATTGTCATTGTCTGCGTCTTTCAGCACACATTCTATAAATTTCGCAGTTAGCCACGCAGGATGAGACATTTCGTTTCTTGATAGTTTTACTAACCCATGCAACGACCAAAATAAACGGAATTGAAACTTTATTTTATGGTACTTCCGTATGACAATCGATTATCTCAACATTGTTTACTCACAATTTTTTAATTCATCATAAGTATTATCATCACTATTTTATGATATAATTATCTCAAGAGCGCTCACTGAATATAAAAATTTTTTTCTCCTTTTTGATGGAGTTGATGATTGTAATAAATTACACGGACGACTTATAAAAGTCCAAGGTCTTACTTAAGATAGGTAGATTTAGCGTGCGCGCGGCGCAAGCGCGCGTCTGAATGTTTATATGGATTATATATATTTTTATACTTATGACATATTTGACCAATCACATTACAAATAAATTGATGCCACATACTAAATTTTATATCACAAATGACTCGGTAGTCTGGCGCTCCGTTCACATCGGATTTAAACGGGACTTGGCTCCAGACTCTACTGACTCTGTGAATCCATAATAAGTGATCCGAAGAAAAACAGTTTCACTGTAAATAATCGCACAAAACCCACGTTCACAAGACTATTAAAAAAAAAATTTTTTTTTCCTCTACAAAAAGATATAAAATAAAAAAATAAATCCAAGTAACCGACATGATTTTAGGAAATTAAAAAAAATTTTGTAATTAAAATTTTTTCAGGCCCTAAAATTAGTTTGACGTCTACAAACTTATGAGTAGTAGATAGTTTTCACGGATTTCATAAAAAGTAAAATATTCGGCAACCAATTGGTTTGATTAATATATAGACATGCATTAAATCATTTTAAATTAGATTTCTTCAGTATACAAAATTATTTCAATTCACTTATTAATCAAACACTTCATTACTTTATTGGAAATAATTATTAACAGAGATATAATCAATTTTTATGAGACGTTATTGAAGTCAAAAATTTTATTTTCTCAAATTGCAATTTCAAATTTTACTCTGTTAGAATTAATCCAATACTCCTCGAGAATTCCAATCTTGAAGCCGAGGCACCATTATCTTCCTGAAAGCTTCATTTTGATACGCCTTGGCATTGAAATCGGTTTGATCGCCTTCCAACATTTCTTCTAGCCCTTGTACATCACTTTTATCAACAATCATGATAGGAAAAGCTGTACAGGAAAACAAGAACCCAATGAACTCTTTTTCTGCTAAAATTGTCGTGATGTATTCCAAAGTAGGGGCGCAAGTTTTGCATCCAATTTTTCTCATCGTTTCAAAAAGTGTTTTGTGATACTCTTCAATCAAATGATCTTTGTGATCCATCAGCACTTCCTCGGAAACACTTGTGTTGAGGAAATACAAGAGATCGAAAGCCGGAGTTCCATAATGACACATTTGAAAATCAACCTTTAAATAGAAATTCAATAATTAATTTTACTTCCCAGAATGATTTACTGAAATTACTTACAAAAATATGATCTGTAATATTTCCTTTGTCGTATTTGAACATCATATTATTCACCCAAAAGTCTCCGTGGTTAATTACGTTGAATTCATCTTCTCTTAGCTTCCCTATTTCGCACGCTTTGGAATAAGCAGCATCCGCAATTTTTTTTAGCTTCTTTTTGCAATCTTCGCTCAATTCCGGCCACGAATCAGCAGTTTTCGCCAGAGATCTCATGCCGCTTATGAAAAATGTCAAAACTGCTGGAGGAAATTCTGCAGAAAACATTCCTCTGCGATGATCTTTTCTGACTTGCGGATCCTAAATCATTAGAGAATCACTAATATAAAGTATTTTAACAATTAATCAATTGCACGCTTCATAAGCGAAGCGTTGAGGTAGTGCTCTACTCTCAACATGTCAAAAAAAGGAGTTTTCTTCTAAATTATTGATTATTTTAATAAACCTGATTTACTTTCATTGATGAAAATGTTTCCAAGTTAATTGCTCACAATCAAATAGTATGATAATATTTTTAATACTGTAAAAAAAAGTTATCACAAGTTTTAATTTTAATTCATTCTTTTTTTTATTTTAATCAAAATTAAGGGTGTGTAGATAATTTATTTTAATTTATTAATTTCAAAAGTATCACAACAAGTTATTTTTTTTCGGAAAATTTACCGTATCTGTTAACTTTAAAGAAACAGTTTATGTTCTCGGGTAAAAATTTTTTTTTTCTTTATTGCACGCCTCATAAGCGAAGCGTTGAGGTAGTGCTCTACTATCGACATGTCAAAAAAAGGAGTTTTCTCGAAACTGAAATTGATTTTTTTTAACTTATATCGCACTTACAAGATAATATAAGTGCACTTATATCAAGTAAAATAATCTGTCATCAGGCACATAAAATATATTTCAATGACAATTATTTTGTTTAACATAGTAAATAATAACATTAAAAATAATCTTTCCTGGACGTCCGTGTGTCTGTGTTTATGAATCCGTGTATGTGGCAGAGAAATTGCTCGAAAAAATAATCGTACTGGAATAATTTTTTTTTTATCATCTAAAGTAACACACTAAGGACTTTCTCAATTAATATAACCGTTCAATTCACTGTCGTTTAATTATTATTTATAAAAAACTAAGATACGATTGTGTATTTGTACATCTACTTATACACAGAAAAAAGATTTTCTTGACTGGAGAACAATATTCTCGGCTCAAGAAAATTTTCGGGTGCCTGAAGGAAGACCGAAGTTGTGTTGGCCGAAGTAAAAATTTTTCTTGAAATACTTGATACAATATATTTTTATATTTAATCAAGATTTTTAGATACTTTAGGGAAGCAGAGCCACCTACTTCAGCTGAGAAAAAAATTTTCTCACCTTGAGAAAATTTTTCTCTTGAATATTTGATACCCAATTTATATTATTTTAGCGTGCAATTATACATATTGAATGAAAAAAAAATGATTCAATATTATTTGACCTTCCCATTTGACATGTTAGTCAATAAAAATATTAATTAAAATTTACTTCTATCTTTATATTTAATTTTTTGGAGCAAGAGAGAAATTTTCTCAAGACAAGAAAATTTACTTCTATCAAGGACTACATTTTTTGAAGCAAGAGGCTGAATTTTCCCAAAACAACAAGATTTTCTTGACTTAAGGAAGTACGAGCACCAAGGCAACTTTTGATAAAAGGCTTGATTTTTTTTTAATATGAAGTTTAAATATGTCTAAACAAATTCCGAAAATTTGAAGGAGATTGCCCGATCATTTAAATAAATAATTAACATTAAAGTTGAGCAATTTAACATTGGTCTTATGGGATAACCTTCAAATATTGATACATTTCTGTATTTTTCTCGTAAAACTGTCGGTGAATATTTTTAAAAAATTTACCGATCAAGGTAAATATATTAGTGATAAATTTAATTCAAAAACATTTAGACTTGCCCGTCTAATTAAAGTGTATTAATTAAAAGAAAAATAAATGCCGCCACTAGCCAATGTTAAATGTATATCTATATATTGAAAAAAATCATATGGTTACTGCGTTCCCCTTACCGCGCTAGAGTCGATACCTATCCCCACCCCACCTGGCGCTCGTACTTCCTTAAATAAATTTTTTTCGATCAAGATACGTATTTCTTAAAGCAAGAAAATTAATTTTTTTGGAATAAGTGAAATTTCTTGTCAAAAAAAAAAATTCAAGACAATAATTAGGAAGAAAAATATTTTCTTGGCTCAAATGAACCTTTTTTTCTGTGTACATTTTATTATAGTATTTTTTTTTCTTTACCTTAGAATTATGGCGCCACTATAGATAGAACCATAGCAGAGTTTTTTATTATTTTGTTTTTTGTATTTTATTTTAATCAATTTTATCGTGGAAAATGAGATTATGAGGCGTGCACTTTTGGATTTTCCAAATTTTTTCAAAATTACCTTTTCGCAAACTAGAACAGAACTAGCATGAAATTTGGCCAATCTCTGCAACGCTAACTTGCAATGTGGAAGATCAAGACCTGCTTGTCGGTCAGCTAATTTAAATCCCAGAGGAGTCAAATCTTCAATGATAAGCATTGCAGGATTCTTCACCTGCGAATAGTAACATCGGCCACCGAATTTTGTACCGTCTTGAAGTACCGATTCCATTTCTCTGAGAGTCTTGGTCATCATTTGGATTTCATTGTCAAATACTTTGGTATCCTCGATCTTGGAAAATAATTATAACAATTATTTTTCATGCATCAACAATTTGCTAATCACTTACCAAATCTTTGTGCACTCCCTCAGTGCTGTAATTCGCCTTGACAATTACCGAACCTTTTCCAGCAATTCCATCTCGCGTAACATCAAAATTAACTCGGTACAACTCACTGGAGTAATTGTCGCCTTTGTTAGTTGCATTTGTCACCGAAATTTGTATCACTGAAATCGAATTGTCATTATTTGCGTCTTTTAACACACATTCTATAAATTTCGCAGTTAGCCACGCAGGATGAGACATTTCGTTTCTTAATAGTTTTACTAACTAATGCAACGACTAGAATAAACGCAATTAAAACTTTATTTTATGGTACTTCCGTATGACAATCTATTATCTCAACATTGTTTACTCACAATTTTTTAATTCATCGTAAGCATTATCATCACTATTTTATGATACAATTATCTCGAGAGCGCTCTCACTGAATATAAATATTTTTTTTGCTTCTTCACGGTCAAAATCTCAACACAGCAGAGATAACGATTGTACACATTGCACGGACAACTTATCAAAGTGCAAGGCTTTACTCACGCGCGGTTAACTATAATGGTATTACATAATTCATAATGACACCTCTGCGTTTGGGTTGCGCAATATATCTAATTTGAATAGTTTATACGCTATATTTATTCTCTCTGTTACTTCTTGTTTATTTTTTGCTTGGATTATTGAAAGAATAACTAGTTTATTTTTTTTATTGAAGAAACAATTATTCAATCAATGATTTTTAAAAAATCGGAAAATTTTTTATTTTTCTTCGAATTATAAAAATCGAGTTCTCATCAGCTCTTCACACTTTAAGGCTCTAGGAAGCTAATCTGACTATTTTTAAGAAGATGTAACTCTATATGACATTAAAGTTAGCAGTCACGACAATTTTTTAATTTTATTTAACAAACGAAATTGTTCTGAAAAATTATTTAAAAAAATTGCAATTCTTATTTTTTTTTTATTTTCAACAATTTTATTTCTCAGTTGAAGAAATAAAAATTTTTTTTACAGTAACTTTTTTGTTGAAAAAAAGTTTTTTTGATTTGGAAAAAATAAATTTTAGATACCTAGACAATTTGAGATTTTTTATCCAAAATTGTTTTTTCCTAAATCTAGAAAAAAAAAATTTTTTTTTTAAAAAGAAATTTTCCCTTAAATTAATTTCTTGTCACAAAAATGTCGATATTTTGCAAAAGAATTTTTTTTTCTTAGTGTATTTTAAAAAAAAGTCACTTTTTTGGATATTCGCTTATAACTTTTCTAATGACACTAAAGTTAGTAGTCACTTGAAAATTTTTTAATTTTATTTATCAAACAAATTTGTTCCGAAAAATTATTTGCATTTTTTATTTTTCAAAATTTCTACGTGCCAATTTTTTTTTCTTATTTTTTTTTGTCCTAATTTACTTGTCAAAAATATTATTAAAATTATCAAACATCTGCTAAATTAATTTTAATTAACTGTATCTGTCTGTATGTAAAAATGTACACGCGCGCGTGTGTTCGTGTGTGAGCTTTGTATAACTTTTGAACGGTTTTATTGATTGAAACATTGTGACGCGTCCCTATATTTTATATAAATTTAATAAATAATTTATTATTTATTAATTAATAAGAGCAAAATAAAAATAAAATACTCGAGTATTTTATTTGAGTGCGAGAGAAAAGACAGCCGCGCGCAGCCTACTCGAGAAAAGAAAGGGAAGAGAGAGAGAGACGGCGAGAGCGCCGGAGACAAGCCAAGAGTAGGGGAAGCAGCCGGGAAGCCCAGGAGCATAGTTCTCGCGAGCGCCGTGAGGCAGCGCGGTGTTGCTCAGACTGTTCGCGCGGAGACTATTGCTCCAGAAGTGTTAAAAGCAATTTTCTGATCATTTTTCGTCAGATCAGCTTGGGCTTCCGAGCGAGTGGTACACTCTGCGGAGAAGTTACAAGTGCTGTGCCGAGAGCAGTTGGAATTGTTATATACTTAGTATGTACGTTCTGTAATTAATCCTGCTCACACAGTGGATCGCTTTGTCGCCAGGTTGACTTGAGGTACTCGAGTCACCGAATAGCCTCTATTGCACGGGAAGAGGTGAGGTTGTGGTACACGACCTGTCGTTCTCGTAACGAATATTGTGGGTAATAGCTAGGAGGTTGTGGACACCTGGATAAGGAGGTACTTCTTATCGGAACACCTAGGGGGAGATACGGCTGGGCGTCGGGGTACCTGACACAATTCCGGTATCTCTATATTTGGACAACCAAGCCTCTCTTGGTTGATAGAGGGAACTGGGGAGAGATTAGATAGGACCGCGGACGCGACGCGAAGTCCCCAGTAGGCTGCAAGTAGGTTACGGTTTGTCGAGAGTAATTGTAAATGTATATATTAGATTTTGGGGTAAAAGTTAAAATAATACGTATGTCTATGGTTTGTAATGTATGGAGTATTGAATATTGTATAGTTGTATTGTATCTTGGTTTGCAATAACGAATTTGAGTTTATTATTATTTTTATGAGATTTGGTGAATAAATTAACCTTATAGTTGGAATCTGTGTTATTATTTGGCTAATATTAGTTAGATGTAAGTTTATCTGTGTTGCGTGATCCCCATCCCGACCCTGGACACGGCGAGTTTGAGCACGGGGAAGTCGTGTTTATCACAACGAGGCTTTCAAACCTTCCGCAACGTCACAACATGATTTGTGAAATTTTAAAGGGTCCTACCGAGCTTTATTCCTGAGAATTTAAAACATTTCAGCCAGATACATTAAAAAAAATTTTTTTTTTCTACACTAGATAAAACTACATGTTCGATAAGTTTTTTTTTCTTAATGAATTTTAACAGCACCTTGTTTATGAATGAAAAAAAAAAATTAATCTAAAAAATTTAGTATTCCCGTGTTTGCTTAAGGAACAAATGTTAACCAGCAATTGATTAATTGATGAATGATTTTCAAGGTTAAAAGGTTGAAAAAGAGTAAAATAACCAAGTCATCTGTCCTCATTAACAATAAGTGATTATCAATTTTTTAACTCGCTTAATTCAACTGGTTACGTGCGGCAGTAGTATGATTGATAGTAAACCAGTTGTTCCAATAATTAACATATTCGTGATTAATAACTTACTGATATATTTTATTTACAAACTACTGTCGTAAGTTTTAAAATCAATATTTAAAACTTTTATCCTTATACGTGATGTTGAAATTAACAGACGTCTAAAATGGTTTTTAATTTAAAAAAAAATTAAATTATTGTAAAGGAAGTTTATGATTTTTATTAAAGAAATTTAATTTTAATTTAAAAAATAGATTTTTATTTTTACTATCTTCATTTTTTACCAAAATGAAAACAATAAAATAAAAGTTTGAAAAATATAAAAGTGCACGCGTCATTTTCCACAATAAAATTGATTAAAATAAAATATGAAAAATAATATAATAAAAAACAGGAAACTCTGCTATGATTAAGTGGCGCCATAATTTTAAGATGAAGAAAAAAAAATGCTATGATAAAATGTATATATAGATATACAAATACACAGTCGTATCTGAGTTTTTTATAAATAATAATTAAACGACATACGACAGTGAATTGAACGGTTATATTAATTGAGAAAGTCCTTAGTGTGTTACTTTAGATGATAAAAAAAAATTATTCCGGTACGATTATTTTTTCGAGTAATTTCCCTGCCGCATACACAGATTCATAAACACAGACACACGGACGTCCAGGAAAGATTATTTTTAATGTTATTATTTACTATGTTAAACAAAATAATTGTTATTGAAATATATTTTATGTGCCTGACAGATTATTTGACTTGATATAAGTGCACTCATATTATCCTGTAAGTGCGATATACGTTAAAAAAATTAGGAAAACGGTTGACCCTAAAGGCCATCTCTGCAACTTCCTGCTAATTCCATATCTACACGGAGAGAAATTTATAGGAATCTTTCCAAAAATTATGGGAATGGTTCCTATAATAAAATTATCATTATAGGCATTAATCCTATACTCATTATGGGAACCATACCCATAGTTTATTGGAAACGTTCCTATACAATAATGGAATAGCTTCAATATATTATAGGAATGGTTCCTATAATATTATGGGAATGACGCACATAATAATAGAAAAAATTTTATTTTCTTAATAATGAAGCAATCACTTCAAAAATATAAAGTAATTATTATGTATTTTTTTGCTAATAAATTTTTTTTTGTAAATAAAAATTGATCTTCCACTAGAGTGAAAAAATTTCTTTTTCATAATTTTTATTCACGTGTGTACTTAATCTTGAGTTATTTATTCCAGCTCAGTTATTATTGTGTTAAATAATGTTGAAAAATATTGTAGCAATTTTAAAGTTTCTCTAATAAAAAGGATATTTTCTCACTATACATTTGTAGGAGCAAAATAGATATGGAAATTCATTGTTTATTTTAACAATTTCATTTTATTTTTAAAGCAAATTATTTATTTACAATACATTCGTTGAGCCGCGAAAACATGTAAAAATTTTGAAACCAAAAAAATAAAAAAAAATAACCGAACCCCAAAATTATAAAAATCATTACCTTCCACCCACTAGCAACAGCAATGCCTCCCTTATCAGAAGCCATCAAGTCCTCAACCGATTTGAAGAACTCCGTCGGTTCGTAGAACAGACTGCGTTCGGTTCCGTTCCACTGCCTGAAGCTCAAGTCATTAGGAACCTGGTTCTTATCATACCAGAGTTCCTTGGACAAAGGCGGCCGCATGTAAGGAAAGTCCGACTCTTCACTAATAATCAGGACCTTCGCGGTCGGGTCCTTGGACTTAATCGACCTGAACGCGGAGAACGCGGCAGTGCCGCCACCTATCAGCAGGTACGGAACTTCTGTCGGTATTTTGGTGCTGACATCTGGCGACTTGGAACTTTTGGAACCGGCAGGCTTAGTTGTTCCTTCCGGGCTGGCAGAAGCCGCCTCCTCTTGGCGGAGCTTTGAGTAAATACTGATCCCCATGCTGGTGAACAGTAAAGCTGCTAGTACTTGGCGCCACCACTTCGACATGAAGCTGTCGTAGTTTATCGGAGCGCCGGCAGTGGGCCCGCAGATTTCCTCGCATTCTGGAGGGAGCTTTTTGTTGGATTTTGTTGGACATTTTGGAGGTTCTTCCGGAAGATCTTCTACGGTCGATTTTGGGGTCTTTTTTATGTAGCAGCGGACATGATGAATAGCTAAAAATTTTTTGATTTTTTTAAATCGATTAAGGAGGTTCGAGCGTAACTTATGAGTCAAAATAATGTTTAAATTTGTTTTTACTTTAAGTCTTCTTAATATTCGTCAAAATTTTTTATTTTAATTTAAAATAATTTAAACAATTCAATAATTGATGATTTTTACTTATTTAAGGAGGTCCTTTCGCCGCCAATGTAAAATAAAAAATATTAGATTATGAGTAAATTAAATTTTTTTCTAATAGTTGAAGTCCTTATTTATCTAATAGTGAGGTTTAAAAATTTGTCCGGTAAAGTATAATTTAAACCTCACTATTAGATAAATAAGGACCTTAACTATTAGAAAAAAATTGAATTTACTCATAATCTAATATTTTTTATTTTACATTGGCGGCGAAAGGACCTCCTTAAAGATTAAAAAAATATCAATTGTTACAACTGATTAATTTAATAATAATAATAATAAATATTTTATTACTGATAACTTTTTTATCAATTTATATATTGTAAGAAAAGAATCACTTAGACATAGTTTTATTAATAATAATTTATCGGTAAAAAGTTGCGGGAAAAGTTATATTTGTGAGCGATTTAAAGTTATTTTTAGTCAAACACTTGTTGAAGACTACGCGTTATATGAATAAATATTTACGGTAATACACTGACAGATAACTCAATATGTAATTATTCCCAATATTTATCTAGAATTAAAAATTTGTCTTAATTGATAATGTGAGAACTTTATGTTTGAGGTGTGCAAATAACAGTTTAGCTATCACAATCGACATTATCGATCATATGAGGATGTCAATTTTATTTTTAATGTCTACAAATTGTGAATATTTGTTTCCATAGAGAAATATATTGAGACGTTTATCTGTACAATAAAATGTAAATTTGAAAACACATGTTAAGAGATTATTTAGAAGAGAACGGTGTGTATAAATTTCGGTGATTATTTACTAATCTCATCAGTTGAGTGACGGATTAAAATCGTTGATAATTTTTTAATGGAAAATGATTTACGACAAAGTTTTTTTATTGCTAATTTTACAATTTTTTACATTGTTTGAAAATATATATGGTGATAGGTAAGAAAATTTATAACATTAAAGTGAGCAGTCATGTGACCATTTTTTAATTTTTTTTAACACATAAATTTGTTCCGGAAAATTATTTTTAAAAAATTGCATTTTTAATTTTTAAAAATTTTTACATGTTAATTTTTTTATTTTTTTTTTTGCTAAATTAATTTTCATGAAAATTTCATTCTATTTGTATTATTTAGAGAGTTTGATCATTTTTAATCAAAAATTTATAAGTTATGTGAAAAAAAAAAACACTTTTTTACAAATTTTTATTGAAGAAAAAAATTTTTTTTTTTTTTTTCAATTTCGAGCAATTAAGAGTTACTTGAAGAAAAAAATTTACAATTCTAAAATAGAGAGACATCTGATGATTAAAAATTTTTTTTAACAAATAAATTAAAGCAAAAAAAATTTATTTAAAAAATTATAAACGCAATTTTTAAAAAACAATTTTCCAGGCATGGTTTATTTTTAAAGAAAAATAAAAAAATTGTCAAGTGTTTGCTGATTTTGTTCTCATGAAAAATTTTTCAACTTTTTAAGAGTGTCAAGTGGACAAAATTTTACTGCAAACATTTTTAAATACATTGAAGATATTTTTTTCTAAAAAATCCATAAAAACAAAAATTTTGAATTTTGTACCATTGCCAAAAAAAGTTAGCGGTGGGCAATAAAAATTTTTTAAACTTCCCAATTTGCCATATAACAACACTGATAAAAAAATATCTTCATTCAAGAAAAATATTCTTGCTCCAAGATAATTATTTTGAAGAGAACTAGTTGTCTTATTTCAAGAAATTCTTGATTTGAATTCATGTTTCTTGGATTGAGAGGTCTAATCACTCCGATCGATAACATTTTTCTTGGTTCAAGACTATATTATCTTCAATCGATACAATTGAATTCTTTATTCAAAAATGATTCTTTTGAATATAGAATAATTTTATTTTATTTCAAGAATTATTGATTGTTGATTCAAGAACAAATACTTTTATTTATAATGTTATAAGTTTAAGTCAGAAAAAAACTTTGAAGTAAAAAAATTTGTATTTCTCTATATACCGAAAAATATTTATTAAAACAGAAAATAGCAAAAATACAAAAATTTATATGCTTAAAACAAGTAAAATAATGTCTTAATTCAAAAGTCGCGCCATACTTGGAACAAGTCGGTAATATCTTGAACCAATGTTACCGTCTATCTTAATCCAAGAGAAAGAAATTCTTGGACAAAGTTGTGTATATCTTATTTGAAAACAACCAAGTTCTTTGATTCAAGAATCAATTTCTTACACGGAAAAAAGAAAACTGTAATAAATAATAGTCGATTTATAATAAGTAATGGTCAAATGCTAAAAATTACCATTTCAAACAGTAAAATCGTGATTTCAATAATCACTTCATAATATTTATCATTTAAATACTACAATTTATTATTTACATGGAAGAAAATACTATTTCAAACAGTAATATTCGCTATGTGAATATCAAAAATGTTAAATTATAATAATTAAGAATTTTGACTTTGATATTTATCATTCCGTACCTAAAAAAATAATCGCATGATATATTAAAAATATAAAATACAGTTACTAAATTTCCGATATAAGCAACGTCAATATTTACAAAGTAAAATGATAAATTTTGAACGCAACGCTAAAAATCAAATTATAATTATTGACTACTTGTTTGGACTAATAAAATATATATTTTAAGAGTAGAATTTTTACTGTTTCAAATGTTAAATTCTCCTAGATTGAGACCCCCTCGGCTGCCCAATTTTAAAACACAGTAACTGCAAAATTTTTATAGCTGATTTTTTTTTAGTATTGCTGCATTTTTTATAACTTTTAGACCTTAATTTCAAGTATTTTTTCTTAAAAATATTTATATTCAAGTATTTTCTATTCATCAAAATCAAATTTTTCATCAATTTGGCGGGTAAACATTTTTTTTAATAAGAAAAATTGGAAAAAATTTTGAAATGTTAGTTACTGTGTTTTGAAATTGGGCAGCCGCCCTTCTCCTCATCTGAGTTCCCCTTCTCATAGAATGGATTATTAGTAGATTTCATAGAAATCTAACTATTGCATTGGTCCTCATGATGGAACTTTTCAAAAATTTTGCTATATTTCAACTATACTCGTCGAGCTGAGTTGGAAAATGCATATGGTTCAAAAGTTTATATATGTATGTATTTATATATATATACGATATAATCGGCATTGTCTCTTCTCTAACTCTTGTAATTCTATACGGATCTCAATAAAACGTAACATACTTATTCTTAGGACGATTTCCAAGGTTAAGTTCTAAGAAGAGCCAAATCTGTCGATTAATTTAGGAATAATAGCAATTCAAAAATTTTCAAAAATCGTAAAAATTTTCACTTTTACCGTATTTCCGTGCAATAACAATTGAACGCGATATCTTATCAAAATTCTATAAACGGCACCTGAAAGCTTATTAAATAAGCTTTAATTTGTGTACCTCATTTTATCAGTCTAGGCCAAAAATTACCTACTATCTCAGACAGATTTAATGAAATTTTACTTTTGTATTCGTTTTGACGTCATTGTTGTTTAACGTAATAGAAATTTATTTTTTTTTCGTATGCAACCCTAGTAGTAGTTTTTTTATTCATCATGAAATCTACTTCCATTTCGGCTGCCGAATGGCCTTTTTATATATTGAAACGGTAATTTTTACTGTTTGAAACTGTAACTTTTTAAGATGACAGAGTCGTTATTTACTATAGTGACAGCTACTAATCATATATTTTCGATATTAAATTACAAATTGTAGCTTTTACACTTTCTACATATACTGTTCTGTAATATTTATATTTTTGCCACTCCGATGTCCGCTGTACTGTTTGAAACTATAAAAATTAACCGGAATCCGAGTGAATTTTACAGTTTACTTTTTTCCGTGTAAGTTAAGAGAATTGAATTACTTAAAACAAGAATGAGATTTTGAAGAAAAGATTTTTCTTGAATCAATTCATTTTTTTTATCAGAGAATAATTCTCTTCACCCAAAAATGCTAACATAAAAATAAAATTTTCCAGCCCATTGTGGGAGTACAAATGTATCAGAAACAATTGCAGAAGAGTCGAAATAACTTCAAACGCCACATTACCCCAATCTTTAGAGGCCTGCCGTACGTTTTGCGGAGGTGGGAGAGTATGGCCAGATCCGTCAGGCGGAATTTACTATTTGAACAAAGATCTGGTAACCATAGATCTGAAAAGATTCCGATATGTTCTGGGGTGCAGGAAAACGCTAGTAGAAAAACTAACCAAACGGAGGTTCCGCGATATGAAGAATCGCTTGCACAGGTTCAAACCAGATGGTAAAAGTGATCTTAGACCCCGTGCTTTATGTATCTATGCTGTATACTTGAAAGACTGTATCAACACGTCATTGACTTTAGAAACAGATGAAAGCTATGAACTGGAGATAAAGACGCCTCCGGCGGTAGTTCATGTTAGAATAATGGCAAAAAACTACTTCGGTCTGAGACACGCGATCGAAACACTGGAGCAACTGATCTTCTTCAACGACATCACCAGACAGATCCAGATGCCGGCTAGAGTGAAAGTATACGACGGACCAAGCTATCCGCACCGTGGGGTGATGTTGGACACCAGCCGCAACTACCTTAAGAAGTCTGCGATCAAGAGGACTATCATGGGGATGGGAATGTCCAAGTTGAACACACTGCACTGGCACATTACGGACCAACACAGCTTCCCTTACGCCAGCCGCACTTGGCCGAACATGACGCGCTTTGGGGCGTACTCCCCCAGCAAGGTCTACACCGCGGAAGACATCAAGGAGATCAAGGAATTTGGGATTTATCACGGAGTTCGCGTGGTTCCTGAGCTGGATGCTCCTGCTCATGTTGGCGAAGGCTGGCAGTGGATCGACGACGCTCTTATCTGCTACAGGAAAGTTTTGTGGACTATCCACTGCCCAGCCCCACCCTGTGGGCAGCTAAATCCCCTCAGTGAGAAGGTCTACGAGGTCCTGGAAGGACTCTACAAGGACATGATAAAAGACTTTGATGCAGATGTCTTCCACTTAGGAGGCGACCAGATCAACAAAAACTGCTGGCAATCTTCTAAGGCTATCAGGCATTGGGCCAATTCCACGGATTTGATGCTGGAAGATAAGATGTTTTTCAAGCTCTGGAACAACTTCCAGGCTCGGGCCTATCAGAAACTCAAGGCTGCCAATGGCGGGAAAGACAAACAGGTCATTTTGTGGACCAGTGATTTAACGAAGAAAAACAATCTTGATCAGTTGGACAATAAGACTTACATTATTCAGAATTGGAACGGCAAAGGTGACACGAAAACTGTTTCTGATTTGATTAATGCTGGATTCAGAGTTATTTTTTCTCACTATGATGTTCATTTTTTGGATTGCGGGTGAGATTATCTAAAATTTTATATTAAAATTATTAATTAACCCTTTTCCGGTTGTCCTTAAATCCCTACTCTTAATTTCAATCGTACGTCTTATTCTTAAAATGAGAGAGCTACAGTCTGTTTTTTAAAGAGGCGGCTGGAAAAATGGTAGACGGGGGCACTTGCCTACACTACCACAACTAAACTTTCACTCATACAGCATTACAACGGATTTTAATTGGCTCTATCCCCACTTAAATCACATCTAGACTCACCGATACTCCACGCCGGGAAAGAATTAAAAAGTATCTTGATTCAAGAAAATTATTTTGAAGAGATTTAATTGTTGCTTAATTACTTTAAGAATTTTTTGATCTTGGTTATAGAGACCAATATCTTTGATCAATAAAATCAAATTCTTCATACAAGAAAAATTTTTTAAATCAACACTGAAAAAAAAAAATTCGAAAAACGGAAGACCCTGAAGGCCATCCGTGCAACTTCCCGCTCATTTCATACCTAGTTGCTTAAAATTGCACTAATGATGTTTTTGAGCTCTCCGAGCTCAAAAATACTATTTATGTGCTATTTTAAGCTCTCTGAGCTTAAAGAGATAACTTTTTATGCTTTTGAGCTCTTCGAGCTCAAAGGTCTGATAGAAGTTTGATATACGTTTTCATAAATTGTTGAACTTTAATCCGTTATTTATAAATAATTAGACAGTCAAAAATTTTTTTTAATTTTTTTTTAAACTCACAACAAATACATTAAAAGACTGTCAGTTTTTTGAAAGTTTCTGACAGTTCGTTTCTTTTTATAACTAAGAAACTGGTACAGAACTGCAGAGAGCGTATGCAATCAATGTTGAATATCCAATTTTGAATTGAATTCATCTCGGGTTATAGGTGGTCAATCGACTTCAAATTTTAAGGGTAATTGAATTATCATGTCTTTAATATAGTAGAATAAGTATACAAAAATTTAGAATTTTCTGACGGTATGCCTTAACCACGATAACTACCTTATTAAAATTTAAACTTCCACAAATTTTATTTAATATGCGCTGATAGAAGGATTTATTAACTATATTAATAATTTAATTTATTTGAAGACAGTTTTTTAATTTATTAAATTTTAATAAATATTTTTTAACATTCAATAAATATTTATTTAGGAAGAAAGTACATTTATTAATAGTTAATAAGTATTTATTATATAATAGTTAACAAATATTTATTAACAGTTAATAAATATTTTGTTGAGTGAATTTGTTTCGCTTGCAATGTCATATGATATGAAGATTGCTTATAAACAAAAATCATCTTTATAAATTATTTGCATTAATTATATTACATTATAATAACGTTTATTGTAAAATACCAAATTCTATCACAGCTCATAATTATCTTTTATATTTTTAAATATTAAAAACGTTAATTTATTTAGTGAATTTAATTATTATCATGTATTCCAGCTATAGAGTTATAAAAAGTATCAAAAGAAAATTACTATTTTTGCTTTTGATTTTAAATAAATATTTGTTAATAGTTAACAAATATTCATTAACCATTAATAAATATTTATTAATAGTTAATAAATTGTACTTAATAAATTACTTATTAACTGTTAATAAATATTTATTAAATACTATGATGTTAAAAAATCATTTATTAACAGTTAATAAAGCTTATTAAATAAAAACAAGACCTTCTATCAATGTGCATTAAAATGAATTATTTCTTCTTTCAATAGGTCTGGATCTTATGTGGGTCCTGGCGCTAATTGGTGCTCACCATACAACGATTGGAGAAGAATTTTTGAATACTCACCATTAAAAACCCTTAAATCTCTAAAATTGGAATCAAAGAAGAACTTAATTTTTGGTAATAAATTAATTCTATAACAAATAATTCCATCAAAGAAGTTGATTAATTTTATTATTTTTTCAAAGGCGGTGAAGTAATTTTGTGGTCAGAATCTGCTGATGAAAATTCCCTGGACATCCAGCTGTGGCCTCGAGCAGCTGCCTTAGCAGGAAGACTTTGGAATGATGATACAAAGTCATCAAGATATGCGTGGCGAGATGTGGAATCTCGAATGTTTCTTCACCGAGATCGCCTAGTCGATCGAAGGATTCTTGCCCAGGCCATGGCGCCCGAGTGGTGCCTTCAAAACCTGGGACTTTGCCGATTACCTATTGAAATTACTGTTGATGAAAATTCGGGTTATACTATATTCCCTGTTTAAAAAAAAAAATTTAATTATATTTATGTAAATAAATTTTATAATCTCTGAAGCCTTAGCTTCATTAAGGCTTTACAATATATGTAATTTATTTTTTAAATAAAAATTAAAAAGTGATAAACCACTGACTGAATTCAGTGAAGTTTTTTATTACCTAATTAAAAGGAAAATAATTGCTTTATTTAATTTAATTTAATTTAATAAAATTGTGCAAAATAAAATAATTAAATATTTAAAAAAAAAAATTCTAAATATTCTTTAAGAAGAAATATTAAATTCCACATTTATAATTAAAAATTTTGTTAGAGAAATAATAAAATTAAAAAATGCATCTGACAATATTTTAAATATTTTGTGTAAAAATTTTTTTTTTTTATTATTAAATTTGAAACTACTCTAAAATTTTTCAATATCGACTAATTTGACACAAAAAAAATGAAAATTAAGTTAGCCGACATTTAAAAATTTTTAGAATTTTTTTTTATTGAAAAAATGATTACGAAAAAATAAGAAAAAAAAATTTCACTTGTAAAAAACTTCAAAAACTATAAGTGCAATTTTTTAAAAATATTTTTTTAGTTATAATTTAATAAATTAAGCAAAATAAAAATATCAAAAGTGTCGGCTAACTTTATTATTATTTAAAAAAAATGAAAATTAAATTAGCTGACATCTGAAAATTTTTGCAATTTTTTATTTTTATTGAAAAAATTGTTACAAAAAAATTTGACTTGTAAAAAATTTGAAAAATTATGCGTGTAATTTTTTTAACTCACAATTTAATTGTTGAAAAAAATTAAAAATTGTTGAAGGTCGAAAATTACAAAATTGTAGTAACATAAAAAAAATCCATTTCTGATAACATCGAGTTGGCGTGGGGTCTAAAACTAAACTATAGCTAATTAATCAAAGAACAAAGGAAGCCAGCTTTTGATCATTAAACAATTAATCTTACCGTGGCATCAACAATAATTTGATTATTAGAAATTTCTTTTTTAAACAATTTAGATGTAAGTATTAAATAACTTTAATATTTTTATTTGTATTCAATTATAAACTTTATTTAATTATAATAATTATGTATTAATATAAAAAAATCCTTTTTTGCATGATTTCAGTTTGGCGTCTAACATCACAATTTTTACCCAGTACTGGATAAATTAATTAAAAAAAATTACATTTATTCATCAATAGTAAATATTAAAAATCATTAAAATTAATTACTACGATTTAAATTTATTTTACAATCTAATCTAAAAATCGGCTGATCCAAAAGTGATTAAACAAAGGTATGTATCGATGAAGTTAACCTGTCAATTTTCTTAATTTTTTTAACAATTAAACAACCATAAAAAATTTTTAATAAAAAAATTGTACGTCTAGAATTTTTTTAAATATTTTTTTGATCATATTAATTAAATTAATTATAAGAATTCCAAAAATTGTCATAAATATCTGATAACTTCATGACATTAAGTTAATAGTCATTTTTTTATTTTCTTTTACAAAAAAATTATTTTTAAAAAATTGCATTTAAAAATTTTTGTAATTTTCTACATGTCAATTTTTACATGTCAAAAAAATTATAAAATATCTGCTAAATTAATTAGAATGATTTCATGACATTAAAATTAGCAGTCACTTAACCATCAATGATGTATTTTATTTTACAAACAAATTTTTTTCAAAAAATGATTTTAAAAAAATTGTATTTTTAATTTTGAGTTGTCAATTTTCTTTTCTCATTTTTTCCAATAATTTATTTGTCAAAAAAATTATAAAATTATAAAAATTATAAAAATAATTTTTTCCCAATTTTTTTTGCAATAATTTGTCACCAAAATTCTTAAATTATTAAATATCTACTAAATTAATTTTCAACGATTTCATGACATTAAAGTTTGCAATCGCTTGATCAAATATCTGCTAAATTAATTTAAATGCTCTTATTTCAGTATCAAAAATTTCCTATTTTATAAAAATATATCATGACATCAAAGTTAGCAGTACCATTTTTTAATTTTTTTTAACAAAAAAATTTGTTCAAAAAAATTATTTTAAAAAATTGCATTTTCATTTTTTTTAGATTTCTACATCTTAATTTTTTATCCCAATTTTTTTTTTTGCAATAATTTGTCACCAAAATTCTTAAATTATTAAATATCTACTAAATTAATTTTCAACGATTTCATGACATTAAAGTTTGCAATCGCTTGATCAAATATCTGCTAAATTAATTTAAATGCTCTTATTTCAGTATCAAAAATTTCCTATTTTATAAAAATATATCATGACATCAAAGTTAGCAGTACCATTTTTTAATTTTTTTTAACAAAAAAATTTGTTCAAAAAAATTATTTTAAAAAATTGCATTTTCATTTTTTTTAGATTTCTACATCTTAATTTTTTATCCCAATTTTTTTTTTTGCAATAATTTGTCACCAAAATTCTTAAATTATTAAATATCTACTAAATTAATTTTCAACGATTTCATGACATTAAAGTTTGCAATCGCTTGATCAAATATCTGCTAAATTAATTTAAATGCTCTTATTTCAGTATCAAAAATTTCCTATTTTATAAAAATATATCATGACATCAAAGTTAGCAGTACCATTTTTTAATTTTTTTTAACAAAAAAATTTGTTCAAAAAAATTATTTTAAAAAATTGCATTTTTAATTTTTTTAGGTTTCTACATCTCAATTTTTTTTACAATAATTTGTCACCAAAATTATTAAATAATCTACTAAATTAATTTTCAATGATTTCATGACATTGAAGTTAGCAATCACTTAGCCAATTTTTTTTCTCTATTTTACAAACAAATTTTTTCCAAAAAATTATTTTTAAAAAATTCCTCTTTTAATTTTTAGTTGTCAATTTTATATCCTCATTTTTTCCAATAATTTATTTATCAAAAAAATTACAAAAATAATCAAATATCTGCAGAATTAATTTTAACGCTCATATTTCAGTATCATATAAGTTTCCTATTTTAAAAAATATATCTCAACATTAAAGTTAGCAGTCACTTGACAATTTTAAAATTTTTTTTAACAAACAAATTTGTTCAAAAAAATTATTTTAAAAAATTGCATTTTCATTTTTTTTAGATTTCTACATCTTAATTTTTTATCCCAATTTTTTTTTTTGCAATAATTTGTCACCAAAATTCTTAGAATTATAAAATATCTACTAAATTAATTTTAATGATTTCATGACATTAAAGTTAGCAGTTACTTGACCATTTTTTAATTTTTTTTAACAAACAAATTTGTTCAAAAAAATTACTTTTAAAAGTAATTGAATTTTTAATTTTTTTAGATTTCTACATCTCAATTTTTTTTACAATAATTTATTTGTCAGCAAAATTCTTAAAATTATAAAATATCTATTAAATGAATTTTATTTTAAAATATCTATTAAATTAATTTTATTTTTAAGTATCAATTAATTTAATTCACAAATACTCACTGCATTAACAATTAATTGCCCAAACCTTTTTCTAATTTCAGCAATTGAATACCACCATGGATTATCAAGAATTTTACACAACCATCCGCAGGAAGATGATGCTAGGTACCCTAGCTATCAACTCAAGATTTCCCGGACAATTAGAATTCTACCCCTCAATTTTGCAAGTATCAATAATCCACCAAGACGATCAATTAACCAACTACTTGCTGGAGCACAACGCTGACGTAAACCTTACAATTAAGTGGCGTGAAACAGACGCAATTGACATCAGCGAGAAAGCATACATCAGGAATAAATACGGTAAGTCGCCCCTTGATTCCGCAATTAAAATCAGAAATCATAAGTTGGTTAATAAATTGATAACTTTCGGCGCGTACATTCCTCAGCAAGATAAGTGTCATAATATACTTAACGCTGTAATTGAAGAAGATAACTATGAAATGGCTGAAAGTCTAATAAATCTTGGACTTGACATCAATTATAAAAGCATAGTCACTGGAGAGACACCCTTGCATACATCTGTGAGATTAAATCGCAGAGATTTAGTAGAACTTTTGATCCAAAAGCGCGCTGATATAAATGCTAAGACAATTTCTTCCGTAATTTTTGATGACATTGGTTCAAATGAAACTGAAGGTCTAACTCCGTTGCATCTTGCAATCATTGATAAAAATCAAGATATGGTACGAATTCTTTTGAAGAATAATGCTGAGTTTGATGAACTAGCGATCAGTTTAGCGAAAAGTAATAAATTTTTCGAGCTTATCAAAATTGTAGCTTCTATAAATGATGAAAAAATTAATTTGTCTGAAAATGGTGCGGAATTTATATGGGCGGTAGAGAAAGGTGAATATTTAGTCGCTGAAATATTGATAAATAAAAAAAATTCATGGTGTTCATCGCTCAGTCCTGTTTTTATTAAAAAATACTTTAAATTTGTAGAATATTTGATTGAAAATGGCGCTAATGTAAATGAAATCCAACATTTATACACAACACCTCTGCACTTAGCAATTAGTCAAAAATACAATGAAGCCGCTAAATTTTTAATAGACAACGGAGCTACTTTGTATCATACAATTGATCATATTGATACTTTGCGCTTGGCGATTGACATGAATAATCATGAAATAATAGAATATATAATAGGAAATGAAAGAGATAATTTTATCTTTCGAGCGTCTTTGCAGTGGGCTATGGAAAGAAATAATTTAGAAGTTTCCAAATTTCTAATAGACAAATGTCCTAGTGTGAACTTTGTTTTTGGTAAAGAAACACCGTTAAATCGAGCGGTAATGAATGGTTCCTTAGAATTAGTTGAATATTTAGTAGAAAAAGGCGCTAAAGTAAACAAAATAATCGACGGAGAGACTCCATTAATTATAAGCATTCATTTAACAAGAAATAAAATCGCTAAGTATTTAATTGACCACGGAGCTAATGTAGATTTTAATTATAATGGAATAACGCCTTTGCTTTTTGCAATCGGGAAGAATAATATCGATGTAGCGGAATATCTTATCC